AAAATTAAAGATATAAAACTTGACTTTAATGAATGTTTAAAATAAAAACCTATGTGAGTAATTTTTTCAAACATTATTGGAGGTACGCCTTAGCTAGTGTGAATTGTGCTTATAAACATTGCTTTTTCCTCATGCTCATGTTTGAATGAAGTCAGAGAAATAAGTTTGTTTTTCTTGTATATTCGTGTCTGTGACCAATATATAGAGGTGTCTGTGACCAATATATAGAGCTATATGTGACGAATATTTATATCATTATTATTTGATTTAGTAATCATCTGCAGCAGTTTTTTCTATCTCTTTCTGACACCACATATTTAGATTGTATAAATGTTCCTCTTTAACTATTCATATGTACATGTAAGTATAGCTAGAAGTACCTCTCATTGACGATAACCAAGCTGTGTTAGGAATGGTGTGCTATTCAAATGCTTATATATGTTAGTTTTGCTCTTTCTTCTAAATCAAATGTTTTCCATTTTAACATTCCGAAAAACACTTTTTATTTGTTTATTTTTACTTTTATTCTTTGTAAAAAAAATATATTTAACCAAAAAAGATGATACTGAAAACTTTGGAATGCTTATTCATGTGCTTTAATATTTTGATATTGTACTTCGAAAAGTTAATTGAGAATTAGCATGAGTTTTGACCCTATCGTTAGAAGTCAGTTGTTTGATATATAATATGTAATCGGATCACTGTACATCATTTGATTCAGCAATAGCTGGATCTCTTAGTTTCAACAGAAGCACTCAGCTGTTGTAGGTTTCAGAGAAGTACTGATGCCTAGCTTCATTTAACATAAGTATGCATCATCACATGAGAGTTATGCATAAAAATGGGTTACTTATTCAAGCACGGGAAAGTCTTGTGTAGATGCATGCCAATGTCAAGAGAAATTAAGAACCACATATAACGATGGGCGTTGTTTTGAAGAGAGCAACCCCATATAACAATGGGCGTTGTCTTCAAGAGAGCAACCACGTATAAAAGCTAAATCTATGTTTATATAAGTAAAAGAAATAAGTTTAGCAGCATAAAGTTTCATTTTTCTTTCAAATCTTCTCAATGATTTCCTATAAAGTGATAGAAATTGTATAACATTTCAGGGTGATGGCAAGAAGAGAGGAATCTGAACATCATAGCAAGTCGACATTTCTTAATATTTTAGAGATTCGATATATGCATTATTTACAACCAAAATAAGTCCAATATTATATACCAATCCATGCATCCATTTTTTTTCGTTTGTAGCATGTGTCTTAAAAAAGAACATCTTTAATGATTATCATGGCACAAAGTAAAATCGTTAATCTCCTGGGAGGAAAAAGATACAAATCTTGAATTAAGCATAACAAATTGAATGTAATTATGAGAACAAACGACTGTCGTTCAATAATTCCTATACTATCAATAATTCAGTTTCACTTCCTCCTTTTAGCTTTCCATCAACAACGGAGAATACTTTAGTCAAAAGGCAAAGAGAACTCAAGGGAACGATTTAGTAATTTAGATCTTTGATCCAATTTGCGAAATAAAAGGTTATTTAGATCTTTATTCATGAGTAAATAAACGTTAGGTGATTGTTTGTCTAATTATGGAGAAGAGTTAATTAAGGAGCCACTTTGACTAGCCATTCATGCGAGTTTGTTACTGAATGGAAAGTAGCTCTTTTACGAGATTGAGTAAACACGACAACAATGGTATCGGTGTTGCAACTTAACTGTTTAACCGGATGTTTATAAAACATCGTGTTTATATTTAATTAATGTGAACAATACAACAATCCTATTTTAAATGAATTGATTATTTAATGACCAAATTATGAACAAGGCATATCAGGAACAACGTATCGTTAGGAGGTTGGTAATTCTAATTGAGCAAATCAAGATTTCTGTTTCTCTCTCTCCCTCTCTCTCTCTCTCTCTCTCGAGAGAGAGAGAGAGAGAGAGAGAGACACCCTGACTCATTACAGCACGTAAAGATGAGGGAAATGGAATTCTTACCAAAGCAAAGAATTTTACTGAGCAAATTAAGATATTTTCTTCAGTTTTTGAAAACAGAAGTTTTTAAAATATCTTTCTTGCAATACTAGTTTGTAGTGTTGCACTAAACTAAAACAAGAATTATTTTCCAAAGTTAAATCTTGACTCCGCTCCATTACTCGGTATAATATTGTGGTGCTGAACATGGAAGCTAGGTGCAACTATCAATAGGTGTCCTTGTTTTTATTTATCATAATACAATAAAACATGCAGATTTACTGATTTACTAACATGTATTTCTTCACGGAATTCATTTCTTTCGTTTGCACAACTGTCGACTTACTAAAATAAATCAGATTGAGAAACATTTGTATTAATTTTATGTGTCTTGTTAAAGCTTTTCAAGGGGTGGTTTGTGGAATATGTTTGTTAGCAAAAGGGCTTTGCAGCAGTCTCCATTTACATAGAGCAATTGTAAAACTCATATACTCCTCTTATTAAGTATGTCATTGGACAGGTATAAATATCATAACGAACATCCGGGTAATAGTTTACATCTTGAAATTTGCTTTCATTGAGCAAGGACAGGAATTCAACAGCAAGGTGTTTATTTTGTCAATCACAAGAGTGTATGAAGTTTCCTGTAATATCGTCCATGTCTGAGATTGGAGTTCGTTATCCATGTTTAATGTCGTATCCTTCTACAGAGCACACAGTTGTTAAGTTGCTATCAGTACTAGTTCTGTTGTTTCAGTTGGTCTGGCGGTGAGTGCTATTGATTTTCCTTGCAGGTGGTTGTTTAAATCAATCAGTTTAAAACTGAATTGTCAAATAAGTTTGCGTAAATATTTGTCAGGACTTAATTGCAAGTACTGCAAAATTATATGTACATGTAGCCATTTCATTAATTGTACCAATATGCACTTGTATTGCTACTTTGTGAACCTTTCAATTTCTGACCTGTGATTGATGTAATACACTGCCAATGTGAAAACCAAGATTTATCTAATGTACTCATGATTTTTCAAAATTTTCAAGTAGAATTTTTTTTGTTAAAAATCAAATTTAAATGAGGGTGTTTAGGAAGTTAGCGTTATCCTTTTCCTTATATTTATATTTAGCTAGTAGCATTCGTTTCTATGCAAATAATGCAACTCAAAGTAAATTGATTGCTTTTGGAAAGAATATGAAATGAAGTGCAAGTAAGCATAGTTTATTACGTACGTCTTTGCAATGGCAGCTCTTGATCACCTTCCTCATATTTCAGTTCTGGGATGTGCATCAGCATCATCGACTACAAATTCGCAACTAAAGCCGATTTGATTCATTAAAATTAATGCTTCTATATCGATGACATATTAGATAACAGAAATGTTGCGTTTCTTTTACAGCAAATTAATGATTTTCAATTTAAAAAAAGAAAAATGCTTCCTACAAACCAGCGCCATATCCTGGTACTCTTTGTGAGAGACAGGCTTCTGAGAGAGAAAAAATCCCCATAAAACTGAACTTGCAGATTTGTAATTTTTATCTTTGGATTCCTAAATAAATAAAGACCAAACTGTATATTTGGAAGTAGGCTTATTTTGAATTAAAGAAAAAAAGCACGAGTTACAGCGTGAAAAATTCTGTTTTCAAGTTACAAGTATACAATTAAAAAAAGGGACAAAGGGGACACTACCTCTACTGGAGAAATAGTAAATATGTTTATCTACAAAAAAAACTCTAACGTCTGAAAATTTATTTTCATAGGGTAGATTGCTCCTTGAGTGTATGTAAAAAAAAAAGAGAGAGTGGTTTCTGTGTAAGTTTAACATATCTGTAGTTTTTGACAGAACAACAATATTATTTGGTAAATATAAGAACAGGGATACACATAAAGTGCAAAATTTAATTACTCTGATAATTAAAAATTATATTTTTTCAAGTAAATATAAAAACCATCCACTTTTAAGTACAATGACTCTAAAAACAATTATTGTGGAAAGAATCTTGATTGAGAAGTTTTTACTATTGAGACAATGTAAATATACAGAGTTTCTAAATAACTGGCAGAGAATATTTGAAATGTTGTAATTTATATGTATATATATAAATTTTTTAAGGAATGAATGTTGCTCATTACCACATTAATGTAAAAAAATACTATGCCCCCTTCTTTATTTCATTTATTTTTTTTACTTTCTCCCTCCTTTTCCTCTATTTCTTCTTTCTTCTTCCTTATTAAACCAACTTTCACATAAGTGTATGTGTGTAAATGTATATCTATGTATGTAAATGTACTCTGTATATGGTATTCTTAATATGCACATGAGTGAAGATATATTCTTATTTGATATAAATGTGAAAGCTGAAATAATTTTTTTTTTTTTTAAAGTGTCTTTAAAAATTTCAAGACATCAGTCAGTAAAAAGATCAGTTTGATAATTAGAAAAACATACCCACCAAAAATACAAGCCTAAATCACTGGGGATATATCTACAACCCTTTTTTATTCAAAATTAAATATATATATATATATATATATATATATATATATATATATATATATATATATATATATATATATATATATATATATATATCATCTGTAATCAGGCCTGGTCTGAAGTCTAGTTTGCATACGGCAGTAGTAGTACTTCAGTACTTATCTTTATTGTACATATTGATGCAATGTAAGAATTAGTTTGCAGTGATATTGATTACTGTTCGGAGTCATTGTTCAACACATGCGTCTGTAATCTGAAATATTTAATATAGATCAGATATTGGGTAAAATTGAAAGAGTCCATTATTAAGAGATGATAATCATACAGAATAGCAGACTCGATAATATATTAATGATTATCGGATGAGTTGATCAGAGATTGCATAAATGTTTTTAAAATGTTTCACAGTCCCTTCACCACGCCTGTTTATCAGATATTTCCAGATAATTTGTTGAAGAATCATGCACAACATAATACGTTAATTTTTTTTTAAATTTAATTTTAATATTTCAATTTCAAGCTTCAGAATGATATGAAATAAATATATAAACATTTACAAAACACAGTTCAACTAGATAATCAAATAAAAAGAAAAATAATTCATAAATTTAATCATATTATATTCAAGGCACACACAGATTTGTTATATTTTTCAAGTTCAGAGATCAAACAGTGCAATGGACGGTATACAGATAAATACTGTTTTCTTCATGAAATTCTATGTATTTGTACATTAAAGGAATGATATAAGTATATCTAGAGACAAATATAATGTAACACAATATCATGAAACATGTAAATGGATTTGCATTAGTAAAGGATCATCAAAATTAAAACATTCTGTACTGGAAACGATCGATCTCTCATTTCAAAATAATAAATGTTTTATTTCAAAGTGAAACGTGCTGATTGCTGCATAAAAAATAGATTCAATCTATAATCATCTAACACCAAAGAAGTACTTCTGACACATCCTGGTATTTCAAAATTCTTTGTTAGCACTTGGTCTTTCTATTTCCATTATTTAAACTAATCAATGTTCCATCAAAATAAATATTACATAAGATTCTATTTAATAACACTTTATGACACTGTATATTCAACAACTACACAAAACTAATGCGCATGTTGTTGCAGAGGTGCAACATTATCATATATATATATATATATATATATATATATATATATATATATATATATATATATATATATATATATTACAGTTAATAATAATTCTATTAGTCACCGCCATGAAAGTCCTGTATAAACGATGTAACAAACTTCTATAATTCAACATAAAACATTACAGTGCATTTTCTTCGTTATGGTTTGGTTACATACCCGGAAATACAAATCAATGTACATCTAATAGAACACATCCTTAAATGCAATGTATCATTCACGAACAATAAGTAAAGTTCTTTATGAAGAATGCGCTACAAAACTTTAATCTCGTCACTCAACCAATAAATATGTCAAATATAGCATTAAAATTTAGACCACCATAGGCATACATCATCAAGAGAATCTAAGACATTCGTAGACTCAAGTTTGCTCTTGTTAAAGATTAAATTTACTTTGAAATGGATTCTGCTTAATTTTTTTAAGTGATCATTTATACAGGAATAAAGTTGGATGTCGCATGCATAGCAGGATCATGTCAGAAGCATCATCCGGACTTTTTTGTTGGTCAAATTGAGAATTATCACTTTAATAATGGACATGACACTGACAATAATGCATAGCTCTTTCCAATTTCAACAACTAAATGCGCTAAAATTCCTGCGATACAGGGGATGCATGGTATGTATTCAGATGCATTTTACAGTTTTTGCCTTGTATTCAGATGCATTTACACAGATTTTGCTTACAAAAAGCATTCTAAGGACAGACTTTAAAAATTCAATCCCCTTGAGGAATTCTGAATTGTATTCAGATATAATTGCAAATCTAGATTAAAAAGATGATGACTGCATATTGTGTCATTTTCATATAAGGTTTGTCACCCTTTTAATATTATAATAATACGAGGGCAATGGAACTTATTATAATTCAATACTAGGTTTAAATTCAATATTTTTCTCACCTAGACATTTGCAGAACTTCTTAACAATGGAAATCCTTTAAAAAAAAGAACACGAACATCAAACATTTTAAAGTAAGGTAAGATATAAAATAACCATAAAATGTAAACACAACCAATAATCCAAAAATTTAAAATAATGGACGGACATGATGTATCACAAATTATCATATGTCTGGAGGTATCAATTACAAACTGGGCATTGGTGAAGTGTAGATATGTATTCTGTATCAGGTTTTTATAAATTAAACCCAAGAAAAATGGACGGTTTTGAAGAAGAATCCACTCCACAAGTAAAAAACTGAATGGGACTGTATAGAATAAATACCATATTGGGGATTAAATAATAACAAAAATATACAATGTTCATTGTAAAACTGTCATTTTTGGTGTAGTAACTTGTCCATGTTTTATTCTAAATCCCTTGAAAATTCATTTTCTAAATAAATTACATTATTGCAGTAGAGAGCTTAAATATGGAGCGACATTCATATCCAATTTTAAGTATATCATGTTTGTTTTTTGTTTTTGTTAATTAATGGTATTGGAATCTTTTATATCCCCCATAGATTATTTTTTTGTTGCTTTTATTAAAAAAAGCTTTTAATCATATATATGTTTAGAGATGACATCAAATATTTTCAAAGGAAATGCTTTGAATCCATTCATTTGCACCACTACGCAAACAAAGCAATGAAAGTCACCACAAAATTACAATTCAAACATGAACAAAATGACACTGCTTGAATTCATCTGGTTAATACTGATGTTAAGGACTCTAACAAGGAGAGACGGAAGATCAGTGCGGGCCTAGTTCTTCGTTAGGGGTAATCTTTATCTGACTGCCTGGCATTAGTTCATCGAAGAAGAACCCGAGCATTCTATGAGCCTGCAAAAGAATGATAAATCAAAATATACAAAAATAATAACTACATATTAAAATTAACAAGAGGCCCAGGGGCCATATCGCTCACCTGAGCACTCTGGCTAGGAAAAAGCAGAAATCAGTTCAGTCGTGAAAAGTTTTGATATAAAAGTGGTTCGAGTGGGGGAGGGGGTTAATTTGAACTTGAATCTATACTTCAAAGGGATGCTTTTGAATTAATATGACAAATAATGGCTATGCTTTTCTTGGGAAGACAATTTTTATTGATATATCATTTGTATTCCTTTGTATAACTATGATCCCCTGTTATGGTCCCTCTATTCTCCTGGGGGGTCATGATTTGAACAAAATTTGAATCTACATTACCTGAGGGTGCTTGCATTTAAATATGACTAATTATTGCTTTGCTGTTCTTCAGAAGAAGATTTTAAAAGGCTTGCTTTTTTCTATGTATTCCTATGTAAAACTTTGATCACCCATTGTGGCCCCACCCTACCCCTGGGAGGTCATGATTTAACTTGAATCTACACTACCTGAGGATGTACCCATAAAAAAACAATCATGGCTTTGCTGTTCTTGAGAAAAAGATTTTCACAAATTATTCCTATGTATTTTACGTAAAACTTTGATCACCCATTGTGGCCCCACCTTACCCCCGGGGGTCATGATTGGAACAAACTTGAACCTGCTACTTGAGGATGCTTCCATGTAAATATGACCAATCAGGGCTTTGCTGTTCTTGAGAAGAAGATTTTTAAAGAGTTTTCCTATATATTCCTATGTAAAACTTCGTTTGCCCATTGTGGCCCCACCCTACCCCCGGGGGTCATGATTTGAACAAACTTGAATCTACACTACCTGAGGATGCTTCCATATAAATAAGACCAATCATGGCTTTGCTGTTCTTGAGAAGAAGATTTTTAAAGAATTTTCTTATATATTCCTATGTAAAACTTTGTTCGCTCATTGTGGCCCCACCCTACCCCCGGGGGTCATGATTTGAACACACTTGAATCTACAATACCTGAGGATGCTTCCATATAAATATGCCCAATCATGGCTTTGCTGTTCTTGAGAAGAAGATTTTTAAAGAATTTTCCTATATATTCCTAAGTAAAACTTTGATCGCTCATTGTGGCCCCACCCTTCCCCCGGGGGTCATGATTTGAACAAACTTGAATCTACACTACCTGAGGATGCTTCCATATAAGTTTCATATTTTCAAGCACAGTGGTTCTTGAGAAGAAGATTTTTAAATGATGTCATTAATTTTTCATGAATTCTTGATTATCTCCCCTTGGAAGAAGGCGTGGCCCTTCATTTGAACAAACTTGAATCCCCTTCACCCAAGGATATCTGTGCCAAGTTTGGTTGAAATTGGCCCAGTAGTTCTGGAGAAGAAGATGAAATTGTGAAAAGTTTACAACGACAACAACGCCGACGACGACGACAGACAACGGACAAATTTTGATCAGAAAAGCTCACTTGAGCCTTCGGCTCAGGTGAGCTTAAAACATCAAACAATTACGAAAGATTTAAAAATAAATGTTAAGATACATTGCCGGGTCCAGCAAATGCTCTACTAAGCCTCACAAAAATATACACTGCTGTAAAGAAGAAACTTCAAAGGAATGTGCTACAGCATATTCAAGAAGTGGTACACGTCTAGCTTTTTTAGGAAACTAAAATTTTGTTGAAGGAAAAAATGTTTTCAACATCTATCTGTATCTATAACCGATTTGCCCACTTTGACCCTTATGTCTTGATAGTTTTTCCGCATGAGAGCGGGGGTTTGGGGTTCAAATGATCTCATTCATGCAGCCCCCTGGATCCGGCCTTTAATCTTGTCAAAGACATTTACTCAAACGAACAAGCTTTACATTATTATTTAGAAAGTTAACTCGAAGTGCGATGAAGTTTACACGTCTACCGTCTCTACCATAGGGAGCTTTGAAAATTTCACTAACAGGTGTTAGTGAAGCTTGCGGAGTGCCCTCTGTAAGAGACTGTCTCGGTCAACTGAGTCTAGACAAAGGAGGAGACACCCTTGTACCTGCGATGCCATAACAGCCATACTGAACCCCATAATTGAGATTACTAATAAATGACCATTGAAAAACAATTTATTGTAATTTTTAGAACATAAAATACAAACATTTGCTGAACAACAGAGGCATCATGTAGCATCATAAACATGAAAGCTTCGTTTAGTCTGTACTTTGCGTTATATTTTATATTTTAGTTTATTGACTTTCCTAATTTGACCTTACTACGTTTGATTTTTAATTTGACATTTGAAATAATAAAAAAAGATGAAGATAACAAACAGTGATCGATCTCAAAAAATCTATAAACAATACAATTCTGTAAAAAGGGCACAAAACACAGACCCTTGGAAATTCCAGAGGTGGGATCAGGTACCTAGGAGTAGTAAGTATCCCCTGTAGACTGGTCAAACCAGCCATGAACCCTAGGTATTGATCAGGTAGATGGAACATTCCGTAGTCAAATTCAGTACAAAAACAAAGACTTAACAATTTCTAAGTAAAAGTCAGCCAAAATACGACCCAATGATAAGTTATATTTGCTAACAAAGTCATTATAACGACCATAAAATTTACGAAATGTTGACTTTAAACGAAGTTGTTGAAATCCCTGTAACATCAATTTATCTATCAGTACCCTGCCTCTGTAAATAAACTGATCGTACTCGAGCATGCTCTTGGGTATCGAATAAGTTGGGAGATGTAAACGCCATATGCAAGTGATAGCGGGATAATACTAAAGTACAATTGAAACACATAATAAAACATTAACATTTTTACATTTTTTTAACCATACTTATATAACATAACAAGCCTATAAATCCCAGACCCTGAATTTCTACAACCTAGTTTAATGATAAACAGACTAACAAATGAATTCAAATATAAAAAAAGAATGTAGCAGGCGCAGCCAGCTGTGATCTTTAACAAATCATGTTAGCCTATTCGGCAATTAACATCGTGATCGAAATGCTTCAATAAAAACGAAAGTAAAACCAATAAAACTTAATAGCTTCAAAATCTGAAATAAACCAATATTTATGCTGCAGATTTGCATCCATATATAAAATACATTAAAGATACCTTTAAAAAGAGTTTCAACTGACGCATCAAACACTATGTAAAATGACTGATTGATTGTTTCACTTCAGAGTTTAGCGTTTGGCGACGGAACAGTTGCTACCTATTTGTTATCGACTTAAGTCAGTCTCGGCCGTGATTCGAACACGCAACCTTCTGATCACGGAACGAGCGCTCTACCGACTGAGCTACCGTGAGGGTCTACGTAAAATGAATGCATGCAATAATAATGCTTCGCTGCGTAGAACACACGTTTTATAATCAGATGCGAACCAGTCAAACTACTGTGAACCAGATTATAAAACTGTTGAAAATGCAAACTACGAAGCTTCAATATAGGCAGTTTTTCGAATAAATCAGCATCAAAAGCCTCTTAACTCCTTTTTTTTTTTTTAAAGTATATCCTCAAAGTATGCTTAAGAATACACATTTTTGGTTACCAAAACCATGGAGCAAAACCCAATTTACCTTAAATATACACTTTTATGACACAACATTGGTATTTTCCTAAGAAATTTTTAAGTCCATTTAGTCAAGGGTCATATCACAAACATGATTCAAAATGCTACTATTTGTCATAAACTGTGTAGCGTAGTGGTTAACGTGTTAGTCTCAAAGAAAAATGATACTCAGTATTTGTATTACCTGGGTTCGAGTACATCGGGGTTTTTTTTTAACTCATAATTTCTGCCGATAAAATTTTCCTCAGAAAAGTTTTGTTTGTAACAATTTCATAAATGTCAAAACGAAGAATTTGACTCTAAATACTAAATTCACAAAAGGAATATGACTTTTAAATATCTGAAGCTATATGTTCTTTTTTCACGCCTTATTCGCCGATTTCCTTTTTCAAAAGTCAGTAACATCAAAACGTACGACTTTTCTACACTTTATACAACCATTCATCAGGATAAATCGAAACCTGGGCTTTTTGATATTACAGGCACTACCTAATTCAATAAAAACTAGAACTCAGAATTTTTCATATCTTGTGATTGGGCATAAATAAAATATCTTTGTTAAAAATCACTCTGATTCTACAAAAAAGTACTCTGAAGTTGATATCAAAAGGATACTGGAGTTTCTCGTTGACAGCATTTTTGTATTCTTTGGAGATCAGGTTCTTCCAACAAACTGTTGGAAGGCCGATTGGCACAAATTGTGCATCTTTTCATGGCCGACCTATATTTCTACGAAGCAAAATCAATTCAAAAACTTTTACCTAAGAAGAAGAAAACACTTGCTGTAGCCTTCAACTCAACATTAAGATGTATCGAGGACGTGTTATCAATAACCATAGTTACTTCCAATCATATGTCCAATCGATATATCCCAGTGAACTTGAATTGTATGATAAACGAAGTGAATTCAGCATTTCAATCGTCAATTTTCCTTATTTATATAGTAATATTCCGCTGCCACCTGCATATACGGGTAATATTCACCTCTCCCAGCTTATTAGATATTTAAGTGCATGCTCTGAGTACGTTCAATTTTTTTAACAAGCCAGTCTACTGACAGTTAAGTTGATGTTGCAGGGATTTCAACAACCTAGTTTAAAGTCAGCATTTCGTAGATTCTATGGTCATAATAATTACCTTGTTAGCAAATATAATTTATCACTGGGTCGTATTTTGGCTGACGTGTTTAATACAAATTTTATGCCTTTCTTTTTAAACTGAATTTGACCACGGAATAATCCGTCTCCCTGTTCAATACATAGGGCTCACGGCGGATGTGACCAGTCAACAGGGGATGCTTACTCCTCCTAGTCACCTGATCCCACCTGTTTTATGCCCTGTTTACAGAAATGTATTGTTTGCAGATTTTTTTTTTTTTAGATCTATCACTATTCGTTACCTTCACTCTTTTTTTTCA